AATTCGTTATACTATGGTTAATTATTAGGTCATTCAATATAATTCGAAATATTTTTTAATATGTGCTTTAAAATAAGTTATAGATTTATTTTTAGTGTTTTTGTTTTTTAAGATAGGACAGTATTGTAGACAGGAAGCGAAAAAGAGGGGAGATCGGAGATGGAATAGGGAAAGGTTCACAAGCCGGGACTCGAACTCTCGACACCTGATGTGCAACGGCGCTATATATCTACACACTGCCCACGAGACTATTGATGTCGACAATATGTGTTTTTTAAACATTAATTACAATGTTGAGAAATTATTAACTACAATTCTGTACCAATGTAAATCTTCTGATATCTTAAAAACATTTATGCTACATAAAATGAAAAATAAATAAATAAAATGTCGCTACAGCATAAAACAAACCAATAGTTTGACGGATTTAAAGCATAGAACTGATTGACATTTATGTTATGGTTTGGATCTGATTTAAAGTTCAAATTTCCTGGTGTAATTCATTATCATAATCTTAACTTTGTCATATCCTTAAGTAAAAACTAAAGCAGTAGCAAAACATATAAAAGACCAAAAATATAGAACTGCAAAACTTCATCACTTACCTGTTCCTCTGGGATGTTTCTCCACTCTATTTGTATTTCTTATTCCTTTCCAACTCTCTATCCACTTGCCTTTTTCTCGGGACAGTGTTCATTCAGGTTTTCTGTTTACGCCCCTTTTGACCCCCTCTCTCTGTAAATTCTGTGATGCTTTTGTGATGGACAGATGAGGATTGGAGGGGATGAAGTGAGATCAGGGCTGAAAGGATAAAGCCTGGGATGGAGAGAGCCAGAGGGAGGGAAATCTGTTAGGACAGGAGGGGACAGAGAGCAAAAGACAAGAGAACCACAACATTCTCACATGATGGAAGAAAGCTGAAAAAGTAAATAATAGACTGGAAAGACATTTCTATGTATGGAATGATAAGCGGATTCAGATCACTGGGAGCTGGTGTTGCGTACAACTTGGAAACTTTCAAAATTAGCAATATTTATACTTGTTATATTCATACTGAGGTGAGCAGAAGGCTTTGTGATTTAACAGCAGCATAATATGGTACCCTAGGTACACTATGTTTTAATCTTAAGAGTGTAAACACTATTGTAACAAAACATCAATAGCTCATCGCTTCAGGAACAGAAATGCGTGAGGAGGACCATGAGAGAATTTTGTGCAACAAAAGAGTTTAAAAGCCTGTGAACATGTAAGGCTTTGCTTAAATCAGTTTTAGTGTCCTGATTTAGAACTATCTAAACAAACTATCATTATCGTAAATATAACTCGTCCTCCCCCACCTCACTGAACCAGACAAAACATCACAGCATGGTGGATAAAATCATCACCCGATTTAGCAAGGAGGGGGGACAACGCGACCCACGGGTGAAAAGGATTATATTCTATTAGGACAAAAGGGAGTTTTACTTTTGCATGGATGAACATTAAGGAAAGGTTATGTGCTGCATTAGGTTCAGTGTCATGTAAAAAGCCCTTTATTGTAATGTAGAGTTAAGATGTGTGCATTTATATAGGATTGTCTATGTGTGTGTGGGTGGACCAGGTTTTGCCTACATTATAGGGAGCAAATGTCTCCACAATGAACTTGAAATCAGCTAGATTTTGGGATCAGCCACCACTATCCATGAAGAAAATGGCTTAATAAACATGCTATGTATTGTCTTAATGAAAATGAAAAAAAAAAGTTTCTGTTTGGATAATAATTAGGAGAAAGAAAATACCATTAGTGCTAAAGAACAATAGAAGTCATATATATATATATATTTATTTTATTTTTTTAATTTATTATTTAATTTTATACAAAATATTGCAAACAAAGTATCACTACAGTGTATTGTTTGGAGATGCAGTTTATTGTCTGAGAAAAAAATGTAGAAGTATCTGGTAATATTTTGTCTAAAATCCAAGTTTCTCATCTTTTTTTTATTTTATTTAAAGTCCGCATCTTTTTACTTTGTCAGCACACATTACTAGTCTAAGATGATCAACAGAAAAATTAGTTTGTCTTCATAATCCTTTGCTCAAAATTCCCAGTGTTCCCAGGTGTTCCCAGTCTTCTAATGAGAAGGTGCAGAACATCCTAAATAACTCCCTAACAACCGTCAGTCTGATTGTAAACTAGAGTAAAAATCAAGCCTCATGCTTTAATATTGAATATTTTTTCTCATTCAATATTCCGTTTATATCAGAAATACATCACAATGCTAAAGTCGGCCGCAGCTTTGTACACACTGACTTTAAAAACATTATCACACTTGCAATGGTAAATCACAGCTCTTGCCCATGTGATATTTACTTCATGATCATTGGAATGTAAATAGAAATTAAAGAGGAATTTGACAATGTGCTGTTTCATACTAAACTGTCTTATTTCAGAACAAACATCACCCTTTCATGTACATTTAAATCAAATAGCCATTGTTCACTGGTTTAAAAAGAATCAGAGCAATTCTTGGTGTGCAAGTTTCCTAAAGAAAGTGTCCAAGAGGACTAAAGATGGACACACTGTGAAAAACCTTCAACTGTGTGATTACATTGAGAAACCCAGCACTGTAAAAAAAATTCTGTAGTTTTTACAAAATAATTTTGGCAGCTGTGGTTGCCAGAATAATTTTGTAAAAAATACAGAAAAACTGTAAACACATTTACGGCCAAAAACTGTAAATTTTACAGTATAAAACTGTAATTTACAAACAAGAACATTTGAATGTAAACCAGTAAATTCCAGAGGTGTAAAGTATTGGAGTAAATGTAATTACTTACTGTACTTGAGTATCTTTTCGTGTACTTTGTAGTTGTACTGAGTATCAAAGATATTAGCAACTTTTACTCTTTACTTCACGTATAGTAAGCCTGCTGACTGATTTCGTGGCTGATTTTAGATGTTTTATGTGAGTGAGTGAGTTCAGAAGTGAAGTGACATGTGGCCAAGTATGGTGAGCCATACTTGGAATTTGTGCTCTGCATTTAACCCATTCAAGTTCACACACACAGTAGTAAACACACACCCGGAGCAGTGGGCAACCATATTGCTGCAGCACCCGGGGAGCAGTTGGGGGTTCGGTGCCTTGCTCAAGGGTCTCACCTCAGTCATGGTACTGAGGGTGGAACAGAACGTTGGTTATTCAGCGTGCCCCCCTCCCAGAAGTAACAATTTGAAGTTAAAAACATCTTTGATTAATTTGTTTATTACAAACACGTGTTTTTTTGTGATGTTTTTATCAGCTGTTTGAACTCTCATTCTGACAGCACCCATTCACTGCAGAGGTTCCATTGGTGAGCAAGGGATGTAATACTAAATTTCTCCAAATCTATTCAAATGAAGAAACTCATCTACATCCTTGATGGCCTGAGGGTGAGTAAATTGTCAGCAAATAAATTTTTTTGGGTGAACTCTGCCTTTATGGGTTAATAAAAAAAAAACTTTTCATTTTTAATATGTAAAAAAAAAAAAAAAGAATGCGTAAAAAGTTTAATACGCCATTTTAGTGCCACGTAAAATAAAAAAAATAAAATAAATGTTAGATTATGAGATTAATGTCATAATATTTTGAGAATAAAATCAAAATGACAAGAATAAAGTTGTAGCCATATGAGATTAAACTCTAAATATTTTGAGAATAAAGTCGTAGCAATATGACATTAAAGTTGTAGTATGAGAATAAAGTAAAAAAAAAAAAAGTCGTAGCAATATGAGATTAAAGTCATAATATTTTGAGAATAAAGCCGTAGCAACCCTGCTGAAAAAAAAAACAGCTAAAACCAGCCTAAGCTGGTTGGCTGGTTTTATCTGGTCATCCAGCCTGGTCATAGCTGATCAGTAGGCTGGTTTTAGAGGGGTTTTGGCCACTTATTTAGCTGGTCAGGCTGGGAGACCAGCTAAAACCGGCTACTTCCAGATTAAACCAGCTAAGCCCAGCCAGCCAATTTAGGCTAGTTTTAGCCGTTTAAAAAAAAAAAAAATTTTAAGGCCAGTATATTGCGTGAATAACATTAAGTCATTTGAAAATTCTGCCGCATAAAACATTCTAAAGGTTGAAGTGGGTTCCAACTCGTTAACTTAAGTTATATTGTTGTCTTTTCTGAGGTAAATACGTCAAGTAACTATTCACAAGCTATTTCATTCACGGTATAATAAATGATTGGAAATAATATTTCAAGTCTTCAAATCCATTCATTAGGCCTATTTGTAGCACTCAGCCAGCCAGTAATCGCAATAAGCTTTGTGCTTTGTTGCTTTTAACACAGGCCACCGGAATTTCTCCCGGTGCTCCCATTTGTGTGCACAATATATACTCTCTCAAAATATTAGAATTTCATTCTCGTTATTGCTACGACTTAATTCTTGTAATTTCGACTTTATTCCCGTAATCTTATTTTTTATTTATGTGGCACTAAAACGTCATTGTACAATAATAAATATTAATTATAAAGAAAAATAATAAATTACTCCTTGAACTACATAATTAGCCATTCGTCGCTTTATTCGTTTGCACTAAAATTCATTCTTAATTTACGTATGCAAAAAGGTTGTGCAGATATGACTAACCTAAGGCACAGTTTAGAATACTCCAAATTCATTATATTAGAATGAGGTTAAGAACAAATTAATGGGTGTACGCATATGTTGTGAATTAGACAAAAAAAAAATTTGAAATGCTCTCCTGTGCGTACAAATAAGAAAAAAATCCATGAAGTTATTAGTGAATGTAATGGGAAGACCCATTATTTTTAATGTTATACAGGAGATTTTTACATCCTTATATACTGTGTTAGAGATAGCTTATGAGAAATGTATAAACATGGATCTAAATAAAAGAAAATCATTTAGTGAATACTGGGATGAAGAATCTTACAGTGGCTGTTTGGCATCTCGATCAGCGAAAAAGAAATCACCTCCTTCAAAATCATCATTCAGGTAAAGAACTGCACTGCAAAGGCAACAAGATAAACAAAATCACAGTGAGTGCATAACAGAAGAGTGTGGAAAAAATAACATTAAATTTATGTCAGACATTTTTATTATTTTACAGATAAATATGTCTCCTTTCTATTCAAATGAGGCTCACTATAGAATATGCCGGAGTCACAAAAATCAGCACCTCATTCAGTCAATGTTGCATAATTATTCCCAACAGAATGTTGTCAGTAAGGGATTGTTAAAGCAGTGCTTGTATACACTTTATACTGAACATTTCCAGCAGTAACTGTAGCCAAACGTTAACATCAAGTGTGAAATGTTTAATAATTTTGTGTAAGAAGCTTGAAGTCCTATTCTGAATTTTTACCACACCCTGTCTTTCATCATCTGAATCTTCCGAATTTAGTGAATCAGTGAAAACAACATATGCAAATTGAGGAAAATATCAGAAAGCCTATTATCCTTAGTGAATTTTCTTTGTGTTTTGCCTACATCTATCATGTACACATCTGTGCACCTGAGATCTCGATGAGTGAAAGCAGGTGCTTCTCTCCAGCACTGCCTGGTTTCTGGCTCCAGGATGTAGTTATCCACATGAACTGGGTGAGAAAGATCCGAACGCCCCTCCTGATGACCTTCATACACATAAAGTCATATATGCACCAAGCAAGGTGTTATCCCTGTTAATAATATGCGTTTATGTGTGAATGACTGTTCCTATTAGAGGAGCTATAGATATTTGTACCTGGGATGGCAGGGCGGCACACCAAGTATGTGTAAGCAAAGTAGAGAACAGAGTGACTTCTGAAGTACGAGTCCATCAGAACTTTAACAGTCTCCCCCGATCTCATGTAACAGCCTGGCATCTGACTGGTTAACCAGCCCATCTTGAGCTAACTGGAAAACAGATATTTTCTAGTATATTATCTAGGGTATATGTGGTGAAAAATGTCTATAATTTTATGAATCGTAGTATGTGTCTCATGACCGAGTAATATTTCACCTTAAGTGCTCTGAGGACAGTCAAACCCTCAAACTTCTCATGCGTGTGAGGAGAGCGTCGCCCCCGGTAACCATCACCCATGGATGCAGCAACCTATCATCAACACATGCAGAATGTGATTTGAGATTCTTTCAGCTGCTCTCCGTTTGTAGGCTGACCCGGCATTGCACTGATTGCAACAGTAATTTAAATAGCAGATTTCTGGATGATTATTGAAAAGCTCACAGTAGCAAGCTGCATCACACGATCACATTCAGATTGGGATAAAACTCCATCCAGAGCCACACGGTTGGTCCCATTCAGCCCCTGATCATCCATAGTGATTGTTACGCCAACCACAGGAACAGGACCCCCTGAGTTGAAGAGACAGTGAGTGGAAAGGACAAATGCAGGATGAAGAAGAGAAGATGGTTTTATATATATATATATATAAGCTTTTTGTAAGTTGTAATTTTTTACAATAATAATACTTAATTTTTTATATATATTAAAAACCTAAAGCCTATATTTCTGTGTATATATATATATATACACACACACACACACACATTGCACGACAGGATGGAACAGTGCTTG